GAAGTGGTGCGTCCTGGGCCGGCCGCTGATGAAGGAAGACACGGTGTCCCCGGAGCCCCTGAGCTGAAAGGGGCCGCAGAGGGGCGGCATGGGCCCCGAGCTGCCCACACCTTGGCTGCTGCTCTTCACCTGGCTCCCAGCAGGTGAGCCGGGGGAAAATGGGTCCCTCCTCGGGCCGAAGGAGACAGGAAGCCATTGTTGCCTGGCCTTGCGGAGCTGGCCACAGGCAGGACGGCGGAGGCCCGGGCTGCGCTCTGGTGCCTCTTGGCTTGGGTGCCAGGAGGTTCGGAGACCAGATCGAGTTTCCGCCTGTGGGAACCTGTTGTTTTCCTCTCGTTAGCCCAGCCCCTTCTGAAACAGGTGCAAGAAAGAAACCCAGAACCTCTGGGCTTCTCATCCTGCAGTCTTTAGGCACTTCTTTGTCCCTGAAGCGGAATCCGTAGCGGCGGAAACATCACTCTTAAAATACCTAATTACTTTTTCCTTTCATCTGATACTTGCTCTAGGTTTTAGATATGGTGAGAACCATACTGGCCCAGGAATGCACTTATTCACTCCTGAGAGGTATATGTCCCCTCAGTATATGATGGAATGTTCCGTATGATTCACAATCCATTTTACAGGATCATAGCAGGAGGCTCTTTGCTAAACAGGTTCGGTGTCACTTTTTGGCCTTGTATCCACGCACTTCTCGAACTTTCCCCCTTACTCATTATCTCACCATCAGGTGCCCATCCACCCACCCTTTCCTTCATGCGCTTAACCACCAGACCAGTCCCCTGTCTGCTTTGGAAGCTTGGTTTTGTGCGTCTCAGTGTATCACTGAGAAAAATGACAGGAGACTGTATGTGCATGGGTGAAACTAGATAGGAAGGACTAACTGAGGGACAGAATGTCTTTCATCCCGTTTCAGTTAGGATGTAGGTGTGACCTTGCAAATCGGAGTGTATGAATTCTCTTGCAAGTTCTGCCGTTTTATTTCATTTTACCTTTTTGCCTTCCCTCTTTTAGGAATAGCTGCTCTCACCTCTAAGTCGTCTGTGGGAGATCAGCTCAGTCTGCTCACAGACCAGCTTGGGTCTTGTATTTTTCTGTGGGAAAAGAAGTAACAGGAAGGCACAGGTAGAATTCCATTTTTACAAGCTTGATAGGCATGAAAATAGCTCAGGTGTAACCAAATCTCACTCAGACAAGATGCCACAATAACTGAAGCTTAAGGCTGAGAATAAAAGGGAGGGAGTGTTGCAAAAGGCTAGGAAAACTAGAAAAATTGGTATCCCCAAGGTCCTCTGGATTACCACATTTCCTGTAGGATGTAGGTCCTATAAATTATCTGAAGCTGATAAGTCTGGGTGTCAGATACCTATGATACACAAGGAAATGGACTAAAACTCACCTAAACTGAAGTGCCCCAAATTCCACCAGAGCAGTCAGCAGCTTAGACTGTGAAAACAAATTCATAAAAATCCCACAGCTTTGCACAGTCTTCTCTCCTATGCCTCACGTGTTTAGCTCCAGCTCCACAGTAGCTAGGGATTTCTGAAGCTGCTTAAACTGCCTTTTCAGGAATATAGAAGTCTACTCCCACCTCTGCCTTGGGCACCGCATCCTCAGAATTAGGACTTCATAGCCAACAGTCATCTACATCAAAAGAATAAGAAAAGAAGCCTTATAGACAAAAATCCCATTAGGGTGTAAACCCTAATCCTTAAATCACTAGCATGATATTTTAAAAGCTGTTCCAAGATTATACTGTATAGCACAGGGAAATATATACAAGATCTTATGGTAGCTCACAGAGAAAAAAATGTGACAATGAATATATATATGTTCATGTATAATTGAAAAATTGTGCTCTACACTGGAATTTGACACAACATAAAATGATTATAAATCAATAAAAAACGTTAAAAAAGTTTCCAAACCAAAACTACATTTGCATTTGAATAGGTGGTATATTAAATGCATGCTCCAGATAGTAGAATAAAAATTACAATCCAGAAATAAAATAAAATGAAATAAAATAAAAGCTGTTCTATTTTTATGAAGAATATTGAACACTGAACATTTTTCAAATATAGTGATTATAACCAATGGGTATATTCTTACAGTAAGCAAATTGCTAAATGGACAGAGACTTCAGAAAGTAGAGCTCCAGGTGTTCATGAACGAGCCATGCAGTGTGAGTAGCCAGGATGTTGAGGGGGTCAAATAATACAGACTGCTGGGTTTGCCTGGCATTTGTTAAATGGAAGCTTACCTGCATGACACATTTTAGAACCAGAGAATGCTGAACACACAAAAGTCCTAAATCCAGTAAGAAATACAGTTTATATTGTGACATGTGCACACATATATAAGATTTATAAATTAGGAACAAAGGGTACACATACACACAGTGACTATGTTGGATAAAAGATGAACAAATTCACATCAAATATTATTTTAATAAAATTTCAATCCATAGAAAACCATCCCCAAATTAATATTATTAAATAGAAAAATCTAGTAATTTGATTTTTTTCAAGATCTGCTGCAAACTTTAGATAGGAACTTTGGAAAACCCAACACTAGAATGTGTTCATTTTGGCCCATCATCTTGTCCTTTTCTGTTTCTAAAGAAGAGTCAACCCCACCCTCTGATTAGCACCCAAGTTTCTGCAATTGCAAAGTGTGGGCCAGTAGTGAAATGATGTCAGAGGTGAGTACTGGCTGGTTAGTGTGGTTTGGGGCCTCTCATGGAGACTCTGGGGTCAGGAGGTCCTGTGAAGTTACATAGTCTGTATGTTTGGAGCAGTGGAGAGATTAATTGTCAGAGGGTTTTATGTGTGTGTAATTCTCCAAACTTCATTCCTTTAAAAAGAAAAAAATTTACCACACAAGTGATACTTGCTCCTTAAAACAAAACATTAAGATAAGGCTAAAGTAAGTTTCTGTAGCCTTTTGCATTATTGGCTAATAACTCTGGTTACCTTCATCCAACCTCAAAGTTTATTCCTGGAATGAAAGTTTGTTTCCCCCCAAATTCTAAAGGGTTGTGTGTCATTTTGTGCTTTTGGGGATTTTAAAAAATATCTTAGAGTGATGTTAACTTATAGATCCACACAGTTATCAACCTGTATTATCATTCTTTGGGAAATCAGACAGCTCTCTCTTAAGGGACGAGAATTTTTGGAGAGCATCTAGATCAGTAGCTCTCCCTTAGTGGTGAGGGTGAAGGTTGGGATCATACTGACGACTTAATGACATCTTGGTCCTTGATATAGTAGATAGTAAAGTGGAGCTTCTCAGGAGGAGGGGGAGGTCAAGGGGAGAGGACGTAGGACTGTCCACTCAGTGTCTCCCTTGCCCCTACGAGGCTCCGTGAAATACCTCCCAGAATCCCAGTGCTCTGCCAACACAAGGAGGAATCCCTCCCAGTCCCTGTTTCCACCTCCCAGCCAGGTTGACAGATAAAGAAATCTGTGTCCAGGGAAGTCAGGTGTCTCAATTGTCATGGTGGAGTTGATTTGAGAGCTGGGACTAGAACCCTGGCATCTTCACTCTTAGTTCACTGCTCATTCACCTGTTTCATACCTAGAGCAGGTTTGTTTTGTCTAATCGAATCCTGGTAGAAATAGAAGTTGACTACCTCCTGGATGTCTAACTAGATGTTAATTATTAAACACCTTGCCCCAACAACAATGCAGTGGGGTGAGATGCTGGGTAATTACTGCTGTACTGTCTGCCTGGGTTCCTTTCAGCCTAATACTTTATTTCGTTCTTTGAAGTCCTTAGGGGAGAAAAAAGATTGTGTGTTTAAGAATTGGGAGGACTCTAATCATGTCTCATCTTTCTCCAGTCCTCATTTCTGCATCTTCCAATCTCCAGATCTTAGGGTAAGGTGGGGTCAGAGGAAAGCATTCAACACTTCCTTCATTTCTGAAACCAGTTACTCACTGTGTTTGTTGCTTAAGCCCAGCATCTTAACCATCTCCTTGCCTCTAGGCCTGCTGCCTCTCTGTCTAGTTCCAACCACCCTCTACCTAGATGATAGGTTAACCTACCTGAATGAATCTTTCCCATCTTCACTTTAATCCTCCAAGAACTTCTACTAGATCCTCATAGTTTATAAGAGTGGACTAAAGCTCTTTGTTTGTTTCAAGGCTCCCTCATTCTGGCCTCACGAACTTGGGCACCCTGGTGTCTGCTGCTCTGGGCATGCTTTTGTACCCCTTCTCCCTCCAACACACACCCTTCTTCCTTGCCTTTTGTCTGGCTGTACCACAAGTAGTTAACTTGAACTGCTTATTTTCCTTACTTTCGGAGCACTTAAAATTTGTTCTAAGCAGTTTAGACTGTCTTGTATGAATTTATTTGTTCTTTTATTCAGCAAATGTTTAATGCACACCATGTGCCAGGTGTGCTGTCAAATGAAAACAGACATGGCCTTGGTCCCCATGGTGCTTATGATCTAAAGGAAATACAGGCAAATATAGAGATACAACTATGACAGGGACCATGAGGAAGAGATAGAAGGTAGCCCAGGAACATGTAATAGGTGGGGTCTTGCTCATTTGGAAGGCCCTCCCTGGAGTAATGATGCTGGAGTTGAGAGCTGAGGAATGATCGTCCCAAACTAAAGGAACAGCATGTGCAAGTTTGCTGGATAGGAGCTCAGTGATAGGAGAGGTGGCAAGAATGTCAGCATGCCTGAGAGGAGGAAGTCAAGAGGCGTGCATGTGGTGGAAATGAGGCTGGGGTGGGTAGGACCAGGTCTGCATGGCTTCATGGTAGGAAGCTTTGTATTTATCCTAAGAATAACAGACAGTTTTTTGAGATTTTTCAGGAGAAAGAGTTGGGAGACTGACAGCAGCAGGTGGAATCCACATGGAGCAAAACCAGAGTGTGCGCTGGTACAAGTTAAGCTGAGGCACTCTCCAGACTTGAAGTGATGGTAGCTTGTGCCTGGGCAATGGTGATGATGGAGAGAGAGAGAGGATTCCAGAAATACTTAGGAGATAAATAAATCCAGTTTGATAATAGACTGTATATGGAGAGTGAGGGAGAAAGAGATGTCCAGGACGCCTCCTAGTTTTCAGGCCCACCCACCCACCAAAATGGGAAGTGTGGGAGAGGGCCAGGTTTGGATAGGATGAGAAAG